CACACACACACACACACACACACACACACACACACAAATACACACACAGGCACTTATTCACACACTTTCTCTCTTTAACACACACACAAACAAAAATAGAGACAAACACACACTCAGACACACACACACACACACACACACACACACATACACACACATACACACACACACACACGTTCACTCAGACACAAACACACACACTCATAGACATTCTCACACACACTCTCTCACATATAACACACACTATCAGCTGCTCGGAGCCGTAAAGTGCAGCTGGAGGAATGACGAGTGTCTGATCACAGACCTGTGTTTGCCTGCAGGCCATTATTACACAACACCAGCATCATCTGTAAACACAACGCCTCAGGACACACACACACACACACACACACACACTATCACACACACACACACACACACACACACACACACACACACACACACTATCACAAACTAACGACCACGGGGAGACACTCTTCAACATTTACACACTCACCAGATCACCACAGTAATCTCTGATTTTAAACCACCAATAATAAACCTGTTATGAACCTCACACATTCATATTCACCACAGAAGATAATCACTCACAACCACTAACAAAACAACATTCATTCATTCAATTTCCTTCGGCTTAATCTCTATTTCAGAGGTCGCCACAGCGGAATGAACCGCCAACTATTCCAGCATAAGTTTTACACAGCTGAAGCCCTTTCAGCCGCACTCTAGTACTGGGAAACACCCATACACTCCTTCACACACACTTATCAATTCCCCTATAGTGCATGTGTTTGGACTGTGGGGGAAACTGGAGCACCCAGAGAAAACCCACGCCAACACAGGGAGAACTGCCAACTGACCCAGCCGGGATTCGAACCAGTGACCTTCTTGCTGTGAGGCGACAGCGCTACCCACTGTGCCACCGTGCCGCTCATATATGCAAAATGTAAACTATAAATATTTTTGTTTAGCCACTAATACAAAGTACATAGAGTATATTTGCATAAAGTCATACAGTATATACTATAATTAATATTTACTACAACCTAAAAGCATTGTTAAAATTCAACCTTTAATAATATTTTTTATTAGTCAAATTAAATGCATTTAAATAGATTAAAAAATAATAAATAAGTAATAAGGAAAGTTATTATTGGCTTCATAAATTTACATAATATAATAAAATATACATACAACGAAATTAATAATAATAATAATAATAATAATAATAATAATAATAATAATAATAATAACAACAATAATAACAATAAAAATAATAATATTAATTAAAAAAATAATAATAATAACAATAATATTAATAATAAAACAACAACAATAATAATAATAACAAAAATAATAATAAATATATCATTAAAAAAAAAAAAAAAAAAAAATATATATATATATATATATATATATATATATATATATATAGTTTAAGTCAGAATTATTAGCCCTTCTGAATTATTAGCCCCACTGTTTATTTTTTTCACCAGAACATGCTCAGTGAACATTCTTGTTTATCTGGAAAACAATGCTGAAGTCAGATATTCTGCTTTGAACATGTGCGCTACGTGATTATCTGTCTTTGTTTTGGTTCTTTTAACCTGCCTACTGCCACTTTAGCCAATTATATTTCAGCACCCCGGGTTGCCTTGGTGGAAAACAGCATATTTCATTCATTCAGTCAGTCAGGAAGGCTCTTAAAGCATGTGTCTGTGACCGTAATGTGACCTCCGGTGGACTGTAGCAGACTCCAAAATGAGACGCAGACTCAGAGCTCCACATGAGGTGGTTATTAATTAGCAAATAATATAAATAATAATATGATTTTAAACAGTCTTTAGGCTCGATAGTCAGACATACTCCTGTTGGTGATAAAATACACGCTGCTCTTGCGTGTGTTTTGAAACAGGAGTACAATAATAATAATAATAATAATTCCTTACATTTATATAGCGCTTTTCTGGGCACTTAAAGCGCTTTACACACAATGGGGGGATCTCCTCATCCACCACCAGTGTGCCAGCATCCACCTGGATGATGCGACGGCAGCCATTTTGCGCCAGACCGCACACCACACACCAGCTGATTGGTGGAGAGGAGACAGCGATGAAGCCAATTGGAATATGGGGATGGTTAGGAGACCATGATGGACAGAGGCCAGTGGGCAGATTTGGCCAGGATGCCGGGGTTAAACCCCTACTCTTTTCGAAGGACATCCTGGGATTTTTAACGACCACAGAGAGTCAGGACATCGTTTTAGCGTCCCCGTCACTATACTGGGGCATTAGGACCCACACAGACCGCAGGTTGGGCGCCCCCTACTGGCCTCACTAACACCACTTCCGGCAGCAACCTAGCTTTCCCATTTGGTCTCCCATCCAGGTACTGACCGGGCACAGCCCTGCTTAGCTTCAGTGGGCGACCATGTGAGAGTTGCAGAGAGCTAGGTGCCGGCTACAACCTACTTCAACCACTGGGTGTAAAACGTACATACTGCACCTTTAATGTAGACCACATGTGTCAAACTCAGTTTCTAAAGGGCCGCAGCTCTGCACAGTTTAGTTCCAACCCTAATTAAACACACCTGATCAAACTAATTGAGTCCATCAGGCTTGTTTGAAACCTACCAGTAAGTGTGTTGAAGCAGGGTTGGAACTAAACTGTGCAAGGCTGCGGCCCTCCAGGAATTGAGTTTGACATCCCTGATGTAGTCCAAACGTACAATGAAGAAACAACAAACACAAACCTGAGTTCTCTTTACTGCTCCTCCTTTCCAGTCCAGGGAAAGCTGCCTCCAGCTCCAGTTTTCCGAAGCGAAACCCATAACCATTGATGAGTTTTTTAGGAAGGCCACTATTAGAGCCGCCGGATGAAGAGCGTGCCCGGTGACCTTTGACCTGCAGTGTCTTATTATTAGTGCGTTCCAGAGATTTGGAGCGTCTCTCGTTGGGACTCAGCTCTGCGTTTTTGGACGGATTCCCAGCAAGAGATCCGTTTCGGGATTCATCTCCTCCCAGCCATCCTCGAGCGCAGATCTTCCGCACCGGTGCCATCGATTCCTTCGGGACGGATGCAAAGCTCGGCTCCTCCAGAATGGATTCAGAGCTGGAGCCGAGATTCATGGGATTCTGTAAAGCCTCCATGTAGGATTTACGAAAGAGTCGCCGTGATTCGAAAGCGGCGGAGTCTCTGGGATGTCGTTTGCGCATGTTTGGGTTGCTGAGGTCTGTGCTGAAGGACAGGAGTTTGTGTCCGCGGATGCTGCTAGAATCGGGACTCTTCTGTGAGTCTGAGTCTTCGCGGTGCAATGAACCGATGCCCATGTCGGTGAGGCTTCGGCTGAGCGCCGGCTCTGATACGGTGGATTCACCGCCCAGAGAGTCTCTAGAGCTGAGCGTTCCTGTGGAGCCGTGAGTGCTGCAGGGGCTGATCTGACCACGCAGACCTACAACTGGAAGGACAAATAAAGATGGTTAGTTTATCTGCAATATACAGAACATTTTCAGATGTTTCCCAAATGATGTTGAACAAATTCAGAATTTTTTTGCAGTATTTCCCATAATATTTTATCTTCTGGAGAAAGTCTTATTTGTTTTACATTTTTAAACACTATGTTAAGGTCAATATTATTAACCTCCTTAAGCAATATTTGTTTTTCGATTGGCATTTATACAATGATTTGCCTATTAACCTAATTAATTAAGCCTTTAAATGTCACTTTAAGCTGAATACTAGTATTTTGAAGAATATCTAGTCAAATATTATGTGCTGTCATCATGAAAGGAGAAAATAAATCAGTTATTAGAGATGAGTTATTAAAACTATTATGATTAGAAATGTGTTTAGATAAAGTCTTCTTTCCTTTAAACAGAAATTGTAGAAAAAATATACTAGCAGGCTGATCATAGTTGATCATTTGGTGTCAGAAGTGGCTCATATGAAAGGTAAAGGCCTCTAGATTTTGCTTATTTGAGCACAATTAAATCTGATCATGTCTTGATTATGACTGATTTGATTAGGACAGTAATGTCTGACTCTGCTTAGACTAAAGTCTCATCACTGAACAGAAATAATGTCCAGTATAGAATATAAAGTCCTGCTGCAGTGGAGACAGAATGAATATTGTGTCTGACTCCATCATGAGCTTGGAGGACTGCATCCATACATCTCTGACATGACTCAAACCACTGATTAATAAAGTCATCTGGAATGAAGAATAAAGCGTTCAGCAGGACTCCCAGAGTTCATCAAGAGTCTTTGTGTTCATCTTCAACACCTCCATCTTACCCTAGACATGCTCAATAATGCTCATGTCTGGTAACTGGGCTGGCCAATCCTGGAGCAGCTTGACCTTCTTTGCTTTCAGGAGCTTTGATGTGGAGGCTGAAGTATGAGGAGCGCTATCCTGCTGGAGAATTGTCCCTCTCCTGTGGTTTGTAATGTAATGGGCAGCACAGATGTCTTGATACCTCAGGCTGTTGATGTTGATCATCCACTCTGCAGATCTCTCGCACGCCCCCATACTGAATGAACCCCAAACCATGATTTCTCCTTCACCAAACTTGACTGATTCTGTGAGAATCTTGGCTTCATGCTGGTTCCAGTAGGTCTTCTGCTGTATTGATGATGATTGGGATGCAGATCAACAGATGATTCAGCAGAGAAATCCACCTTCTGACACTTTTACACATCATCAACTAGAAGTCCAGTTATTATTTACTGCTCTTACAACAGGAACCGGCGACAAGACTTTTGTCATGTAGTGTGTATATATATATATATATATATATATATATATATATATATATATATATATATATATATATATATATATATACACACACACACACACACACTCACACTCACCCCCCCCTGTTTAGTTTCCCCCAATTTCATTTAACAGAAAGACAATTGTTTTTCAACACATTTCTAAACATAATAGTTTCAACAACTCCGTTCTGATTTCTTTTATTCTTGTCATGATGACAGCACATACTGTCACATAACCAGCCATCGCTCTCTAGAGATCACTGGTTCTCACACGAACACTAAGGACTACACTTCCGCCTTCCCCAGAACTACATCTTCATACATGCTCTCCGGTTACACTCACACACGCTCACTCATCAAGATTGATTACATTCTCACCAGCTGAGCCTTGTCAGAGACTGATTACACACCCTACATAAGCCATTCATTAACCCATCCAGTGTGCCGAGTCTTGTTAGCTGTATCAGTAGCATTACAAAGCGGTTTCCCTGCCTTGTTTCCCGTGTTTAGACCTTAGCCTTGTTTATTCGTGTTCTCCTGTTTAGCCGCCTGCCTTACGACCTATTGCGTGTTGTACGACTACGATTCTGGACTGCCTGCATATACCCATTTGTATCTGTTTGATCATTGCTTGCCTGACGCTGAATAAACCTGCATTGTGGATCTTACCTCCAGTTGTCTCTGGCACTCCCCCCCCGTCGTTACGCTACTACATATTTTTACAGATACTAGTATTCAGCTTAAAGTGACATTTAAAGGCTTAACTAGGTTAATTAGGTTAACTAGGCAGGTTAGGGTAATCAGGCAAGTCATTGTATAACAACGGTTTGTTCTATAGACTATTTAAAAACTATATAGTTTAAAGGGGCTAATAATTTTGACCTTTAAATGGTTGTTATAAAGTTAAAAACTGCTTTTATTCTGCCCGAAATAAAACAATTAAGACTTTCTCCAGAAGAAAAAATATTATCAGACATACTGTGAAAATTTTCTTGCTCTGTTAAACATCATTTGGGGAATAACAAATAAACAAATTAGTTAATAAAAAAATTAAAAGGGAGGCTAGTAATTTTGACTTCAACTATATACATATATATATATATATATATATATTGATGATTTTCTGATTTTTGTTTTACTGTGAACTTTTTAACTTTTCAAAGTGACTTACAAACTTTGAGGCATTTAGCGATTAAACAAGAAGAGGCAATGAACACAAGACTGCCTGTAAAACAACCAAAATAATCTGACAATGGGGCAACCAAAAGAACAAGAAAAAAAAAAACAAGATTGTTTTTGTAACCCCGATTGCAGGTTATTTTGCTTGTTTTAAAAACAACTCGCTTCATTTTGACTCATCATTTCTGAAAACAAGCCAATATGTGTTGCTTGTCTAGAAAATGCTTCTTGGTGTAGGATTGTTGTTATATTTTGACTAGAAAGAAGATAAAAACTGGGAAAAGCATTTATTTGTAGTGTACATACCTCCGGTGTTTCTGGCCTGCATCAGTGCGTCCTCCGTGCTCGTCACCAGCAGAGGATTGATCACGTTTTTCCAGGGCGTTCGATAAACTACAGAACCGGTGCTCAGGAGGCAGTTCTGCAGCGGCTGGAGGTTTCGATCACGCGTCACATTCTGCAGGAAATCTGGAGTGAAGACGCTGCCGTACATGCTCTCCGACACCGGGACCTCTGCGATGGCCTGCCCGCTGCCCGACAGGCATTTCAGCACCAGCTTGGCAGACTTGCGGCCCAAAGGAACCACCTGCAGGTAGAAGTCTCCCTGCCGCAGACGCACTTTATGCAGCGGCGCCAGTTGCAGAACCACCTTCTCATGCAGACACAGCGGCCATCCCTCGTGGTACAGCAACACACCTTTAAATCGCAGCTGTCACAAGCCAACAGGAGAGATCTATTAGATGTGATGGGTCTCAATCACTAACCACTCTTAAAAAAATAGCCGGAAACTAGCAGTTTACTTATTTTTGTTAGTTTTCCCTGTTTATTTCTGCTTTTGAATTGCATTATTAAGTCTTGATCTTTCTTCTAACTACTTTTAATCTTGAAAAGTGTGAAAAAGTGACTTTTGTGAACATGTTTATTAGTTTAAAGTCTGGGTTGGTGTTGTATATTACGCTTAAAAGCTTGTGATAAAAGACCAGTACATTTTCTCTTATTTTACAGACTTATTTCTCTAGATATAATTTCTTAGACATTAAATTATTTAAAACGTATAAAAAGTCAGTAAGTCTAATCACTAAATCTGGAAACGAGTCAAAATTCGTCTGAAATTTATTCTAAATCTATGAAAAAGTTCAAGAAAAACTGATACCATACATATGCCTGAGGCCATGTATAAAGAACCATACATACAATTAGATATGTCATATACACCCACTGGCCACTTTATTAGGTACACCTTACTTGTATCAGTTTGGACCCCCTTTTGCCTTCAGAACTGCCTTAATCCTTTGTGGCATAGATCCAACAAGCTGGAAATATTCCTCAGAGATTTTGCTCCATATTGACATGATAGCATCACACAGTTGCTGCAGATTTGTCGGCTGCACATCCATGATGCCAATCTCCTGCTCCACCACATCCCAAAGCTGCTCTATTGGATTGAGCTCTGGTGACCGTGGAGGCCATTTGAGTCCAGTGAACTCATTGTCATGTTCAAGAAACCAGTCTGAGATGATTGAGCTTTATGACATGGTGTGTTATTCTGCTGGAAGTAGCCATCAGAAGATGGAGACACTGAGCTCATAAAGGAATGGACATGGTCAACAACAATACTCAGGTAGACTGTGGAGTTGATGCTCAATTGGTACTAATGAACCCAAAATGTGTCAAGAAAATCTCCCCCACACCATTACACCAACACCACCAGCCTGAACCGTTGATATGAGGCAGGATGGATCCATGCTTTCATGTTGCTGATACCAAATTCTGACCCGAGCATCCGAATCTGTCAGCAGAAATGGAGACTCATCAGAGCAGGCAACGTTTCTCCAATCTTCTATTGTCCAGTTTTGGTGAGTCTGTGTGAATTGTAGCCTCAGTTTCCTGTTCTTAGCTGACAGGAGCGGCACCCGGTGTGCTCTTCTGCTGCTGTAGCCCATCCGCCTCAAGGTTGGACGTGTTGTGTGTTCAGAGATGCTCTTCTGCAGAGCTCGGTTGTAACGAGTGCTTATTTGAGTTACTGTTGCCTTTCTATCAGCTGAACCAGTCTGGCCATTCTCCTCTGACCTCCGGCATCAACAAGGCATTTGCGCCCACAGAACTGCCGCTCACTGGATATTTCCTCTTTGTCGGACCATTCTCTGTAAACCCTAGAGATGGTTGTGCGTGTAAATCCCAGTAGATCAGCAGTTTCTAAAATACTCAGAGCAGCCTGCTGCCACCAACAACCATGCCACGTTCAAAGTCACTTAAATCCCCTTTCTTCCCCATTCTGATGCTCAGTTTGAACTACAGCAGATCGTCTTGACCATGTCTACATGCCGAAATGCATTGATTTGCTGCCATGTGATACGAGCAGTGTTAACAAGCAGTGTACCTAATAAAGTGGCCAGTGAGTGTACATAAAATATATAATTAAAACTGCCAAACAAAATTCACCTGCTCTGTCCTTATATAAACGGTAATTATTCTGTCTCAGGCTGCATGGTGGCTTAGTGGGTAGCTGGTTCAAGCCTCGGCTGGGTCAGTTGGCGTTTCTGTGTGGAGTTTGCATGTTCTTCTCGTGTTGGTGTGTGTTTCCTCCAGGTGCTCCGGTTTACCCCACAGTCCAAACACATGCACTATAGGGGAATTGAATAAGCTAAATTGTCTGTAGTGTGTGTGTGAAAAATGATGTTTACCTATAGTGCATGTGGGGCAAACTGGAGCACCCAAAGGAAACCCACGCCAACACGGGGAGAACATGCAAACTCCACACAGAAACGCCAACTGACCCAGCCGGAACTCGAACCAGAGACCTTCTTGCTGTGAGGCCACAGTGCTAACCACTGCTGCCAAACATAAATTAGGAAATATTTGACAATGTTATAAGCGGAGCTCAGAGGCAAACTGATGCAGTTCACGACCTCTTTTAATTGCTATATCAGTGTTGGAGCGGATATGATGTCCGCAGCAGGATCATGTAGACTTCAGCAGCTCAGAGAAACACTCAATACAGCAGCGTAAGGTTTCAGCTAATCTCACACAGCGCTAACCTGCAGGAACACAACGCCTTCCAGAGCAGACCAGCCACAATACTCTCTGTTCCTCACAGCAATACTGAACTCTTTCAGACTCCAGCATTCATCCTCCTCTCATGTTCCCACGCGCAATATTTCTCTCTGAATGCACTGAACGCTTTTAGACAGAGTCAATTCAAGATATTATTTAATAAGCATAAGTTAAATTGACTAAAGATTACTAGATGAGTATCTTAAATAATAAATGTAAGCCTTTAACAAGCATAGGAACCACCTGGTCGAGCGTTCATCCACCATAGGCTATCAATATTATTTGAATTGCTTATTAATATTTATCACAGTTGTGTCAGCATATTATTCAATGCAAGCGTGGGCCAAAAACATGTTTTTTTGAGGAGTGCAACCACATGTCTCTCTGTCTCCCCTACAGCAGACTCCAGCAGCTGATCAATCCAACACCCGAACTCTCACTCAACCTCACCTTCTCCCCGGAGCACCAGAGCACCTAACCCTGAAGAGCACCGTATTCATCTTGTTTCACTTTATTCACTGTGTAAATAAATCTCCCTCCGGGGAATTGTTTGTAACACCACGCCATTGTGTATGTGTTTTCCCTCTGCCTCGCTACAACAAATATATAGTTAAAAAATATTTATTATTTTCCCAAGTGTATATAACTACTCCTGTAAGAAAATATCAGAATTGGGTACATACTTTCTGTATTATCTTAGCTTCAACTGACCCGATCTAATCTTGTTTATATGAATTGAACCTGCTCCCGACCAGGTTTGAGCTAGCAGAACTGTTGCTATGACAACAACTCTCGGATCAGTTTTGAAGAACGAAACGATCCTGGATCATGTCAAATCATCAATAATAGTCTGCAGTGCTATACTGTTGGTGTTGTATACTACGCTACAAACACCTCGTAATACATTGCAGCACATTTACAGGTTTTTTACAGACATTATTTCTAAAATGTGAATAAAAGTCACTTTGTTAAACTGTAGAGTTGAATTTTCAATGTCAAAAGTGGACAAAGGAGAGATCAACATCCCATAATGCAATTAACCACCATAAATAAATAAAAAACGCTTGTGAATTGCGAAATACAGATATTTTTTTACAGTGCATGTAATAAATGTGTATTTTTTTTTTTTACTGTTCATGTGTGTGTGTGTGTATACTCACGCAGGCCTGGTGTCTAAGCGTGTGCAGGATCCTCTTTGCGGGCAGCAGGAAGTCGATGAAGCAGCGCAGGCCGTCTCCTCGATACTGTCGCTCCACCACACCGAACAGCTGCCAGAGGACGGTGGCGGCGCTGGAGCTGAACGGAGGATACAGAGCCGACAACACGCTCTCAATACACTGATCCAGAGACTCCGAGTCCTGCAACACACACATAATGACATCACACACAAACATCACACACTGGTTTCAATCCTCCTGTGCTGTTGGGTCGTTTTCTTACACTCTGGGTTAATTTGGAGTCTTAATTAGGCCACAACTTTCTCTGTGCTTCAGCAAATTGAATGATTTTTACTGACAAATCTTTTTTTTTGACACATATTTAGGGAAAATTCTTACAAAACTCAACAATACGATCTGTTCAGATTGACTCCCCTTTGGTTTTGTTGGGGGCTGTTTTTGCCCCATTGCCTTCCAGTATTATCACTTTTATTGATTGCAAAGCCGTGAGAGCATATAATTATGCATTCTTGATTGTTGCTGTTTTTTCTTGTTGGAAAGAGGTGAAATTAGCAGTAAAACTGTAACAATGACCAATTGTCCCCATTTTCCTTATAGACAAAACCACCAAAAATCAAGAATCCATGATTATTATATGCTGTCAAGACTTTGCAATTAAAAATGTCATCATAATAGAAGTCAATGAGGGAAAAACAGCCACCAACATTACCAAAAGTTAATAAATGTGAACAAAGGTTAAAGATCCAATCAAACTCTACTAAATATCCCTACTGAAAAAACAGCTTAAACCAGCCTAGGCTGGTAGGCTGGTTTAAGGCTGGTCGACCAGGCTGTTTTAGAGCGGTTTTGTCCACTTTTAGGCTGGTTCCCAGCCATATCCAGCCTGTTCTTAGGTGGTCAGGCTGGGAGATGACCAGCTAAAACCAGCTAAAACCAGACCCGGCTTGACCAGCCTAGCCAGGCTGGGAGCCCAGCCAAAACCAGCTATGTCCAGCTTAAACCAGGCTGGTCAAGCTGGTTTTAGATGGATTTAGCTAGTCATTTTCCAGCTTGAACAGCTAAGACCAGGGTGGATATGGTTGGAAACCAACCTGGAAGTTGCCAAAACCCCTCTAAAACCAGCCTGATCGACCAGCTAAAACCAGCCAACCAGCCTAGGCTGGTTTAAGCTGGATTTTTCAGCAGGGATGTGCCGAGTTGTCATACAAATAAATAAATACATATCTGAAAAATTAAAAACAAAGGTAAATCATTAAGCTTTAATTTATTTAAATAACACATTATAACACATAATAATAAAAAAAATGCATGATTTTTCTAATAATTCAACAGACCGGAGTCAATTATTCTGCTTATACTACAGTTGGCCTCACTAAAACACTGTTTACATATTGTATTTCAGACATGTGTCAGGTTTCTGTTCTCCTCAAACTGCTTCTGTGTGTAGCACTAGTTTCCTCCACATCTCCCCCTCCTCCTCCTCCTGTTGTGTTTTGATGTGATTTCTGACTGTTGTAGCTGTGAAATAATTCTAATCATTGAATGGAGTGATATGGAGCTTTAATGCACTCAAAACCTGCCGGAACTACTTTAGCGGTGCGCTTATCTGACAATAACCAAACACCTTAGAATGCTCATCAGCCAATCAGAATAATGCATCCAACATCCCTGTAATAAAGAAAAGGTTAACCGACAGGGGTCTGAGGTGATTTTGGGGCACCTGAGATGTTTTGACATGGCCTGACATTTGTGCGTATTTCAGCTACTTATTACATAGTACTGGCCAACATTTATTTTATTTGAGTAATTCTGACTACTGCTCCGAGTAATGAGAGTGAATATTGAGCCCAGATAAAGCACCCGCTCCAGCTTGATTCACATTACTGTGGTCAGCGTGGGAGAGTAAACACAGCCACGTGTTGTTTTTGGTTTGGTTGGTTTCTGACCCTCACTGGTGGCAAGTTCAATCCCACAGTTCCCAGTTACACACACAAACAGCAGGATGTCAGGAGGTCGCGGGACACTGATGAGACGGGAAACACCTGTCGATGCAGCGTCACTGATGGGACAATAACAGGCGGATGGAAAGTCCTGCATCAGATCTGTGGGGCTGAGCACTTTCCAGCCGGATGTGTCTCACACTGACATGCTGCACTAACAAAACCTGACCCGGGAGGGTCAAGCACAGGTTAAGCAGACAGGACCAGGACAGGGGAGAAGAGCATGGAGATGAACAGGGCTTTACTGCTGTAGCTATTTATGCGCTGCATTTATGTGTTATTGTGATACTGTTTGATTGAACTTAAAGTAATGTAGCAAACAAAGTAGGCCAAATCACCCAACAAATTAGCCCAAATTTTGCCCATTGGGCAAAGTAGCCCAAACCTAGCCCAATCGCACAACAAACTAGCCCAATGGTGAAAAACTATAGCCAAACTAGCACAAAATTAGCCCAATTGCCCACTAAACAAGCCCATTGGTCAAAAAAACTAGCCAAACGTGTCCAGTGGCCAAGCAAACAAGCCCAATTGACCAACAAACTAGTCAAATGTCCAAAAAGTTAGCCAAAACTTGCCAAATGGCCGAAGTAGCCCAAATCTAGCCCAATTGCACAACAAACTAGCCCAAATTTTGCCCAATGGGCAAAGTAGCCCAAACCTAGCCCAATCACACAACAAACTAGCCCAAATGGTCAAAAACTAGCCGGACTAGCCCAAAATTAGCCCAACTGCCAAATAAACAAGCCCAATGATCAAAAAACTAGCCAAACTAGTCCAATGGCCAAGCAAACAAGCCCAATTAATCAACAAACTACCCTAATGACAAAATAATAGCCTAAAATTAGTACAATGGCAAACATACTAGCCCAATCGACCAACGAATTAGTCAAATGTTAGCCAAAACCAATGCCAAACTAGCCCAATGACCAATCAAACCTAAATCAAACTAGTCCAATCAACAAACAAGCCCAAAACTAACCCAATTGCCAAACAAACTAACCAAAACTAGGCCAATGCCATACAAACTAGCCAAAAACTAGCAAAATCACAAACAATCTAGCCCAAAACCATTTCAAAACTAGCACAAAACCCAAACAAACTAGCACAAAGCTAGCAAAAATCGTAAACATATCAATAAGTCAAACCTTAATCTGCTGAATAATAAAAATTTGGTTAAAAGTTGGTCAATTCCACGGGAAAACCAGACTTGGCAACCCTGACCTACAGAACCTGTGTGCGATCCCTCTGACAGGGGAAAAGCCCAGGAAAAATCCCCAGTAAAGTAATCTCAGCTCTGGCTTTAGCTCAGGCTGTTTGTTCTGCTCCGCTGGGCCTGTTTTACACACAGACAATGTTCAGAGTCCAGCACAGCGCAGCCATTGTCCAGGAAACTCAATCAGTCACATTAGCGGATCACCGCAGTACAGAAATACTGCTACTGCAGAACGAAAGAAACTAGTTCAAACTAGCACAATTGACAAACTAAGCCAATGACACACAAGTTAGCCTAAATGACCAAAGAAACCAGCTCAAAACAAGCCCTATGGCCAAACAAACAAGCCAAAAACTAGCTCAGTGACAAACAAGCCAAACAAGCCAAAACTAACACAAAGACTAAAGAAACTAGCTCAAAACTAGCCAAATGGTGAAACAAACTAGCCAAAACTAGCCCAATGACCACATTAAAAAAAAAACTACAACTAAAACAACTATTTAAAATATGACTCAAATTTAAGTCTTGTTTAAAATTAATTAAACTATTACCATCAACAAACCAGCCAAAAACTAGCACTATGACAAAACTAGCTCAATCAGCAAAGTAGCCCAAAAGGATCATATTCACCAAGCTAGCTCCCAATAAACTTGCCTAATGATGACCAAAGCAATCTAGATCAAAATCTAACACAATCAAACTAGATTAAAACTAGCTCAATGACCAAAAAAACTAACCCCAAAACTAGAAAAATCCTCAAACTAGCCCAAAACTAGGTCAATGACCAAACAAACTAGCCCAAAACTAGCAAAATCCTCAAACTAGCCCAAAACTAGGCCAATGACCCAACAAACTAGCAAAAAAACTAGCCCAATGACCAAACAAACTAGCCCAAAACTAGCCCAATGACCAAACAAACTAGCCCAAAACTAGCCCAATGACCAAACAAACTAGCCTAAAACTAGCCCAATGACCAAACAAACTAGCCCAAAACTAGCCCAATGACCAAACAAACTAGCCTAAAACTAGCCCAATGACCAAACAAACTTCTCCAGAACTCAAACAGTGGCCAAACAAACAAGCCCAAAACTAGCCCAATGGCCAAACAAACTAAACTAAAATGAGCCCAATGGCCAAACAAACTTGTCCAAAACTAGAAAAATCTCAAACAAACTGGCTTAAGACTATCCCAAAACCCAAACAAACTAGTTTAAAACTAGCAAAATCTCAAACAAACTAGTTCAGAACCAACCCAAAAACACACAAAAAAAATTAGCCAAAAACTCTCAAAACACAAAACAAACTAGCCCAAACCAGCAAAATATCAAACAAAGCAGCCCAAAACTATTCCAAAACTTAAATAAACTAGCACAAAACACAAAACAAATGACGCCAAAACTAACAAAATCTCAAACAAACTAGCCCAAAGCCCAAACAAACTAGCCCAAAGCCCAGACAAACTAGCCCAAAGCCCAGACAAACTAGCCCAAAGCCCAGACAAACTAGCCCAAAATTTTTACACACAGACAATGTTCAGAGTCCAGCACAGCCATTGTCCAGAAACTCAGTCACATTAGCAGATCACCGTGGTACAGAAATACTGCTACTGCAGGACGGAGAAGAGCCGCAGTCTGGAGGAAAAGCTAACAATGGGAGGAAAAGCAGCAGGATTTCTAACATGGTTCAGTGCTGTGTTTGTAGGTGATTGTGTGAGGTTGGAGAATAGAGATTTGGGCAGGGCTGGATTACTGACCGCTCCGGTGGGAAAGGGGACCTCCGACTGACAGGAGCCTACATTACCTTGAGACTGAACAACAGGCTGTGTTGTTTATTTTATTTAATGTATTTATTTATTCAATTCATTTATTTAATTTATTTTTTTTTATTTTTATATATTTTTATTTACTAATAATTTTATTTTGTTTATATGTTTTTTATTTTTACAATTTTTCCATTATATTATATTA